GATGATCTATATATATATAGATCCGTCTAAATAGTTCATTTGAGATTCCATTTGAGATCATCCTTTCGGAGATTAAGCAATCGACGATTTTCAACTAAATCTGTTTAATGTCTTGTAGACGATGATGGCACTGTTGCATCAGCTACAGGTTAATAACCGAACGTCGGCATTAAGACGATCATTAGACCGTTCTACTTATCCTGCAATTGTCCCGAGATTTCAGAATACTGAACGTTACCATCGGACGTAATTAAACTGCGAATTTTACTAATCGGTAACAAGAACGATAAGTATAGTAATTTCTCCCTAATTCGTGCTCAGATTGCGCAGAAAAATGGACAATTTGGGAAGAGGAGATACGATTATTCGAGCCTTGCTGCTTGTTTTTATAATTACAGATTCATTATAATTACCGATTAACAACTATAAAAACGAGTTGCAATACTCGAATAATCGTACCACTTCTTTCCAAATTGTCCATTTTTGTGCGCAATCTGAGCGCGAATTAAGGAGAAATTGCTGTAATTTGAAACAATTGGAAGACTAAAAGACGATTATCTAGCTATTAAAATGATTAACACTCAAATAGCGGACAGTTTTGACAAATATCTAACAGGCTATCGGTATCAGTTAATTCCAACATACGTTTAGGGTACTTTTTCGAGACTCGAAGAAATGAAATGCGAACAAATTTGAATTAATCGTTAGGAACTATAAAGTCGCATAACAATACAGCGGCTCACAAAAGTGTTCGTACACCATTCAAAACGCAATAACTTTTTTAAAACTGGACTAAGCGACTTGAATTTTTCTTAGATGATCGAGGGGCTAGTCTACCGGACGACGGCTAAAAAGCTTCTTTTTAAATTTTGCTATTACTATTATAAAAATTAAGAATCTTCGTTTTTTAACTTTTTTATCCGAGCTTGTAACGAAAATTTGAAAAATGCCTTTGGTAGATCTCGGTAACTTATATGCGTGCTGAAAATTTGAAGGATCTTAAAAACTGCAGATTTCTTGCAGTTTTTGGTGAAAATCGTGATAAAACTGTGATTTTAAAACTGCGAACTCGTACAACGTGAACCAATTTCGATAAAATTTTCAACATGCGTATAAGTCACCGGGATCTACGAAAGACATTTTTTAAATTTTTGTTATAGGCTCAGATAGAAAAAGTTAAAAAACGAGAGATCTTTATCTTCTTGTCATTCCAAGTAATAGCAAAATTAAAAAAGAAAAAGAGTGCATTTCAGTCATCGTCCAGTAGTCCCTATGTCATCTAAAGGAAAATCAAGTCATTTATTTCAATTGTAAAATAGCTATTGCGTTTTAAAAGGTGTACGGACACTTTTGTAGACCACTAAATATGTATATGTATACATACTCCGTGTCTAAATTGACCCGAGTCCCGTCGTTCAAGCGTTAAAGGAAGAAATAGCCGACTCCTGTTTCTCTTAACGATCCACGCAATAAGATCCACCTAATCTCCGAAATGTGTTCGAGCAGTCTTCCGACGATTTTTATTAACCTGGTCCCAATGACGTCGTGTTCCAGTGAACCGTGGACGACGATGGCGTCGCTGGGGACTAAAGTGGATGAGCAAGTCGCCAAGGCACCGCACCAGAATGGCGGCTGCAAGAACGAGGATCTGCCGCTCGAAGACATTCGGGACAACAATAACGAGGTGAGCGTGGATGAAACGCGAATGCTGGGTCCGGATGAAACGTAAATGCCGGATCAAGATGAAACGTCTTCAGACGGGGTCGCCCGATCTGACCTAAGGTTTGCCAGCCTTGTCCTGCTCGCTGTCTGCGATGTTGACCGCGAAATGACTCTGCAACGACAACCTACACTGCGGTCTTTCACCGTTAAACACCTCCGTGCCCGAGAATTCTTCCGCCGTTACCATTAGTTTAAATGTACCGGGCCTTCGGAGAATCGTGTCGGTGCCAGTGCTACGTTACACTTTGGTCGTTCGGCAAATTAAGAACCATCTGGACCATCTTTCGCGATGAGAATCTGTGGGAAACGTGTGCAAAGTATATCAGAAACGTTGGCAATATTGGTTCCATTCGGGAGAACGAATGGACGAATCGACTGCGGATTTTTGTACGATTGTACCATTTTGCAAGATACAAGAAATATTGTTGATATTGGTAAATGCTAATCACTAGACTGCCCCTCAACCCCTTGCATCATGATATTTTTTAAGCTGTTACGTTGATTACGATTTGTTCGTCCTTGATAATGTCTTCGATAGAACAATTTTTATATTTATTTATAAATTATATTAATAATAATATAATACTATAATAATATAATAATATAATAATATAATAATATAATAATATAATAATATAATAATATAATTATATAATATAAATTATATTTGTTCTTTGTATATTTTCGCGAAGTTTCGTTCCCAGATTTTGCTAACAGAAGAACCAATTTTATTCCAATGTTCAGTAAATCTACATAATCATGTGCGAAGTATTCAGCACGAGTTTGCTCGTTGTTATAGCACGGGGTGTTAACGCATAAAATTCGCGGTCTAGTTTCTATACTATTTCCGCCACGAAGAAATTCTTAGCTCACGAAACAAATTCTGTACGATTTAAAAAAATTGTCTAAGAAAATTCGATTTCGCCGAAAATTCGAGAAACGTCGAACTTTACTCTCTGGAAGGTTTCCAGTTCGGTGTAGCAAGTCTGTATTTTCAACTAAAAATTGAGTCTGAGGGAAATGAAAAGTCGTAGATCGGTGAGTTCGATGCGAAAAAAATGTAGCAAAATAGCCTTAGGGTGTTCGAACAATCGTTGTATAGTGTTACCGTCACGGCGAGGTTGCTGTTGTCGCAGAGGCACACCGTCGCCTAAAAATACGCGGTCTTTCGGACGAGATGGGCGCGGTATCAGGCGTCGCATGGCGGTTTTTGATAACTCGCCGGCGTTTTGGGTCACGCGGCTCGGACCGCATCGAGGCACCGCGCGAAAGTCAACGACAGCTGCTTACTTTCTGCGCGGCCTTGATCTTTTAAGCACCTTGTGAATTTCCACGGGCGACTCGATGTTGAAACGTCTCGGCGCCCATGTCATTTCGAGTCTGATCGGACGCGAAAAAATGTTGAACCGGTATTTCGGCGCGTTCTTCTCCTCGAAACAAATTCGCTTCTTTACCCTTCGCGCTATGACAACGAGCCAGTACGTGACGAAGATTTCATACATGATCTACTAAATACGAATGTTACTCGTTTCTTCTAAATCGAAGCACATTTTGATTCTTTCGTTATCGAAATCAAGGAATGGAAGTAAATGAAGGCGTACAAGAAACGAAAATTGTCTTGTTCGACTCAAGACATTATCAAAGCAGAAGAAGTGCTCATTAACATGCAGTTGTGTAAGGGGTTTATTTACCAAGCGCGTTTTCAATCTTGATCTTCATTCTACTCTTACAATCTGAGACCTTTTGAACATCTACTTTTTCAGACTGCGCACGAAAATGGACAATTTGGGAAGGTTTTTGTAGATCCGCGAGGCTCGAATAATTGTATCTCCTCTTCCCAAATTGTCCATTTTTGTGTACAATCTGAGCGCGAATTAAGGAGAAATTACTGTATTTCCCCTTTCTCTGTTTCTAGATAGCCTACAATGTTAAACTTTTTTGTTATTTATTTCTAATTCCAGGAAATTTCCTTTTCCTTTCATTAATTAGCAACGTTGTTTGCGATGGTGGAATTAGGATACATCGCTTTAGAATCGCCCTATTGTTAACACCGTTGCTGAAATAAAATAATATCGATCTTGTGTATATTGTTATTTAACATTTTACATTGGCAAAGTAGTAAGTAACGCCTTAAAGAAAATACAAAATGATAAAACATTGAAAATAATTGTTCTGTTTAAGTAAAAGATTGGATTGGTACAGATTTTATGAAATCAAAATAGTTAATTCCAAAAGTAACATTATCAGCAGTTTGATTATGTCACCGCAGAAGGAACATCATACTGCAAAGGATTAAAGTTGTATTACATAGCATAATCTTCGAGAAAAACCTTTAAATGATTTAATAAAGTTCAGTAACTAATTCATTGAAGTCCAGTGACTACTTTAATAAAGTACAATAACTAATTTAACAAAGTAACATAACTATGATGATAATTATGAAAACAAACGTTGGTAACGAACGTGTTAATCAACAGATCGTCGTGCAACCTAATTTCTCAGGTTCCGCATATTCAATTTTATGTTCTGAGAGGAGCTGTGTCCTATAGTTTGCTTAGTAGCTAATTTCTTAGATTAAGAAGTTTGCGTATTGGCTCGTTCTTGCGACAATGTCCCCGAAAATTTGTTGGCAGAGCATCGAAGTCGAGATGGTGGTGCCGCCGGACGGTGGATGGGGTTGGGTGATCGTGGCTGCCTCGTTCATGTGCAACCTCTTCGTGGATGGCATCATTTTCAGTTTCGGTGTGTTCCTGAACGACATCAGCGAGGAGTTCGTCGTCTCCAAGGCGAGGGTCGCTCTGGTGGGATCGCTGCAGTCCGGATTCTACCTTATGGCTGGTCAGTGACAAGAGCTCTTACGCAATATCAACATGTGATCTACGGGGCAATGACTATTTTTATATAGCTTCACGGAAATGACGAGAATTGATTCAGATTTTTAACTCAACTTGTCTCAACTAGGCTGCAGATATTTGTGCAAATTTCCATTTTCATAGATTATTGTAGAAAGCACTTTTTTCGTCAATCAGGAAATTCTTTGTAAAAGTAAATTAACTCTAAACTTATCGAGACTCAACATCGGTTCACTTGTGTCGCTTTGTAACGACAAAAAGACTGTACTTATTTTAGACCTTCTGCCATTTTGAGTGTAGTGTGTGCTTGGATTAAGGAGTTTATTCAATCATTATCTATATTCTAATCATATATCTTGCATTTTCTATGAAGTCTTTATAATTTCAGCAACATTAAAAAAAGAAATTATGTAACCGGTTATTTTTACCGGCTCGTTAGGTTTTAGATTAAAAATGTTAATCCACTTGCTTAATATGCAGATTCTCTTGCAATCTATATAATTGTGTACCGCACAAATGCATAAAGTTCCGCGATCTAATCACGTTCCACATTTAAAGATATCAAATTGAATGGGCCCCCGCGAATAGATGTTTGCAATCACAATAATAGTTACGGTTTCAGCGCAAACTGTGCAAATTAAATGGCGGCCGACAATCTTCTCGGTAACTTTATAGTCTAGAGGATTATACAGCATCAAAGGGGCAATTTTATAAGGCAATTTGTAAGCTGAAGAATTAAACGGAGTCTCGCGAAGTTAAATCTCGTCGAAGATCCCTGGACTATGAAATGGTTGCGGGAAGTTTCTCGGTCCAGAATACTTTGCTAATTTTAAGGATACAGTTTTCTTGGAAACGCGAATGCCTTTGTGTGTCCCCAGGCCCGTTTGTCTCAGCCCTGGCGAACAGGTACGGTTTCAGGCTGGTCGCGATCCTGGGGAGCGTTATAAGTTGCGCTGCTTTCGTCCTGTCATACTTCAGCACTTCCATCGAGTTCCTTTATATCTCTTACGGCGTCCTCGGTAAGTTCTTTGCCCGATATATCCACGCGAAGTTACCGCCGCATCGCCCGGGAAAACTTTCCCCCCGGCTCCATCCGGCCGAATCTGTTCCATTTTCACCCGCGGCGAACGTTTTTCCTCCGGAGGCACGCGAGGAAGACAGCTCTGCCCTCGATCCATCGATCCTCCGATCGACGAGCGAACGCGAAAAATCGTTGCTTCCGGTCAGACCTCAGAGAACGACTTGAATAACGGCGGTAGATTGGCGGACTAGCGAAGTCGAATCGATCATTTGTGAAGAAAATTTATTTGTGATTCGAAGTCTAGAATTATACGATAAAATTTTTAACGTAAGAAACGGCTATGTTCCGATTGGAAACAGAAATTATAACAACGGAACAGCGAGTTCGTTTTATGTCGAAATTAAGCGAATCACTTCTGAAGAAATTTTATTCGATTTTTATAATTATTGACTTAGATGTTTGAAACGGGAAATATTTAAGCCGTCCATTCAATTTGAGAACAGAAAAATGACAATAACACAGTAACGTCGTTTAACCCTCGGATATTTTTATATTATTATTATTATTTGGATATTTTTAAACCCACACTAATATATATATTTTAAAAATAGTTTTTTAAAAATTAAAATTATGTATTATTATACATCTAAAGGATATGTGAGATATTCAAATGAATGTGAAGTACAGGAAAATTCTTTTTTATCCATCATTTTCACGATGTATACACAATGTGTATTACACATAATAGTAGTTTTTGCTGAATACTGATAGGAACTGCATTCAGTGATCGTAACATTGTTTACATTTTTTAGACTCTGAAATACATATGTAAACAATGTTACGTTCACTACGTTTACTGTGACTCAGAGTTGGCAGGCCGAGGGTTAATACCGAATGATTACATGTTTGTAAACAAAATCAGTTTCAATCACATTCTATAACTGCCAGATAAATCTTTAAAAAATAAGAAACAACAAACAGACTATTCAGAATATAGCAAACAGAAAAATAACAGCAGAAGTGTCATTTTATTTCACACCGATAATATGAAATCAGTCATTTGTAAAGACAATGAATGTTGTCCAAGGTTGCTGGTTAAAATGTTTCGAATAAGAATGGTCGACTCGAACGATGAAATATTTTTTAAACAATCCACTTGAGATGTTTCTTGTATATTTAAGTTGCTTGATTTAAACTACGGTAAATTCTTCCTAGCTGATGCTCAGATTGTGCACAAAAATGGGCAATTTACGAAGAGGAGATACGATTATTTGAGCCTTGCGGCTCGTTTTTGTGGTTTTTTGTACAATCTGTAACAATAAAAACGAGCCGCGAGGCACAACATTCCAGCGCGACAGATTAAGATCTAATAAATAGTACACTGCCAATCTTACTGCAGGATAAAGATACAGTAATTTCTCCTCAATTTGCGCTCAGATTGCGCATAAAAATGGACGATTTTTAAAAAAGGAGATAAGATTAATCGAGCCTTGTGGCTCGTTTTTATAGTTGTTGACAATCGGTAACAATAAAAACGAGCCGCGAGGCTCGAATAATCGTATCTNGAAAAATAACAGCAGAAGTGTCATTTTATTTCACACCGATAATATGAAATCAGTCATTTGTAAAGACAATGAATGTTGTCCAAGGTTGCTGGTTAAAATGTTTCGAATAAGAATGGTCGACTCGAACGATGAAATATTTTTTAAACAATCCACTTGAGATGTTTCTTGTATATTTAAGTTGCTTGATTTAAACTACGGTAAATTCTTCCTAGCTGATGCTCAGATTGTGCACAAAAATGGGCAATTTACGAAGAGGAGATACGATTATTTGAGCCTTGCGGCTCGTTTTTGTGGTTTTTTGTACAATCTGTAACAATAAAAACGAGCCGCGAGGCACAACATTCCAGCGCGACAGATTAAGATCTAATAAATAGTACACTGCCAATCTTACTGCAGGATAAAGATACAGTAATTTCTCCTCAATTTGCGCTCAGATTGCGCATAAAAATGGACGATTTTTAAAAAAGGAGATAAGATTAATCGAGCCTTGTGGCTCGTTTTTATAGTTGTTGACAATCGGTAACAATAAAAACGAGCCGCGAGGCTCGAATAATCGTATCTCCTCTTCCCAAATTGTCCATTTTTGCGTACAATCCGAGCGTCAATTACTCTATTCGTTTGGTATCCATAAACTAAGTATAAGTAACGTTTAAGTGTAAATAACTATTGTAAATAATGTTTTGTCAAGCTCTGTTAGATCGTATCGGTTCTTTATCGTTCGGTTGCGTAACAATGGCGTCCTACGAGAGCGAAAGTAGGAGACCGCATTCTCACGATTGTTGTCTCACTTCCTTGATTTCACTTGATATTGTTTGTCTCTTGGATTATTAGGAGGTATTGGGGCAGGCCTGATTTACGTGCCGGCAGTGATAACTACCGGATTTTATTTTGAAAGATGGAGAGCAATGGCCACAGGGATCGCTGTCTGCGGTTCTGGGATCGGCGCGTTTTTGCTCTCACCTATCTCCGATATGCTCGTCAAGAACTGCGGCTGGAGGACAGCTTTGCTTGCGCAAGCAGGTAACACGCGCTGTCTCATTCTTTTAAAAGGATATTCATGTTTAAGAAAAGAACAAACGCTACAGTATGTCGTTTCCCAAATAACATGCAGTACGAATATTTCGTTTTATTTCAACGTGCGAGTTCACATAAACTGTTATTAAGAAATCAGGACTTAAAGTGTCAGAAACCCTTGCATTACGATTTCGTTCAGAACTACGTCGATCAGCGTTTCTTCGTTCTTAATAATTTCCTCAATTTTTAATTCTTTTACGTCTTCATTTACTCTCATTTCTAGACTTTGATAACAGAAGAATCAAATCTTGTTTCGATTTAAAAAGAACAAAAGTAGAACAGTTATATTTAGTAGATTATCCGCGATTGTGTTGACACATCATCTACGGAAGAGGTATTAACCTTTTGCACTCGAAGCCGAATTAATGCAAAATTTAAGATAGTTTTTCCGTCCCACGATTTTTCTATTTTATATGACCTAGTGCATTTTCTGCTTATGAAATTGAATATTGTGACCCGTGCAACAGTTACGCTGTCAACAGCTCTTCAAATATAAACAAATTTGATTAATAAAATTACTTTGAGACGTGACATAATAATTTTTAATGGCGCCTCGTAGTCGTCACTCGAGTGCGAAGGGTTAATACTTTTTTAAAAAATTTTAGCTTTTTCAATCTTGTTATATATTTGAAAGAATTTTTAACCCTTTGGAGTCCCACCTTTGTATTTCGTACGCTTATTGGGAGAAATGAATCTCGTTTTTCCACAATACACGAATATACCAGTCTTAGAATGCATTCCACGCACATATTTGTTTACACGTTACCAATGGGACATATATATCCCAGCCCTTAGCGTTTAAAAGGGATAGACTACACTAATAAAATCATCATTTCTTGTTATTAGCATCTACGTGTACGTAAAATTTGACTTCAAATAGAACGCAAATTAGCGAAAAAAAATCAGACTCCATAGGGTTAAAAAGTAGATTTTTCACCGCTAGATGTGCAATTAAAGGTCGACCTGTGACTCGCACAAAATATGTTAAAAGAAAGAAGAAGCATTATATTATTCCATTTCTCGGATAAAACATTCAGCACAAATTCTTTATTCGATCTCATTGTACTAGTTCAGATGGATTCCTAAAAAATCAGGTCCGAATAGAGTCCGAACACTTGTTATCAATTTCGCTGAAATGCTGACACCATCCCCAAATCTGCCGAGCTTGATTCCTTGTCTGCGAAGAACGCTAACGATCCCGGAAAAGAGGTGTAGCGTAAAAAAGAAAAAACGTTATCTTTCCATCCGATTTACTTAATTCCACCCTTGTTTCGTCGCGTTTGTCCACGAGTCCCGGCACAGAAACAAGCGAGCCAGTCGGCTGGATTAGAAGGTCTCTCTGAAAATGTCTCGCAGGTATGCTGTTGTTATGCTCGATTTTCGGCGCCATGTTTCGGCCATTGAAGCCGACGCGGATTAAGGTGAAGTCCACGCCCGAGAACGCCGGATTAGAAATGAAGAACGGTATAATGGCGAGAGTGCAGTCGACCACTTCGTTGCACTGCGTGCAGCCTGCTAGGAGCGGGTTCTTCGGCACCAACAACAACACCGAATATCCGACAGCAGCAGAGATGCTGGGCAGCAACCATAACATTGTCAAGTAAGGATTCCTTCTTCCCCGTTGCTTAAATATTTCTCAAAAAGCGAGTCCATTTACGAAACAGTGAAACGAATTGTTACGTCAGGTGTTTAAAGATCTAGGTATCTAGGTGTCCAAGTGCCTAGGTGTATAGGAGTGTAGGTGTTTCCAGATCCAGGTGTCTAGGTGTCTAGGGACACTAGATTTCTATTATTCACTGTCGAGTCTTTTTTATAAGACGGTCTTAAATAAAAATAAGATCATCTTCACGAAGGCAGAACTTGGAATTGTTCTGAAGAATAATCTCAAGAATCGTTTCTACGAATCTAGGTGGCCACTTCAGGCCATGCTTAAGACTTATGTATAAATAAGACTTATAAATATTGACTCGACTATGACTTAGATATTTAGAAGTCTAGGTGTCTAGGAGCCCAAGGTTGTCAAGGTGTCTAGGTTTTTAAATAGCTAGATGTTTAGGCGTCTATGTACCTAGGTGTATTGATATCCAGGTGTTTAGGTCTCTACATTTCTAGATTTCTAGGTACAGTAAATTCCCCCTAATTGACCCTCAGCTTTTACAGAAAAATGGACAATATGAGAAGAGGAGATACGATTATTCGAGTCTTACAGCTCGTTTTTATAATTACCGATTGTCAACAACTATAAAAACGAGCCGCAAGGTTCTAATAATCGCACCTCCTTCTCCCTAATTGTCCATTTTTCCAAGCTGAGGGTCAATTAGAAAGAATCTTTTTGTACTTCGAAAATTAAGTTGTACTCGTCGTTGTTGAATTAATTTATACACATATTGAGGTTTACAAAAAATTAACAATTGACCTTCTCCATTATTTCGTTAGACGCACCCAGAAAACGTTCTAAAATATTACCCAGTACAATAGAAATCACCAATTCCTAAAACCAGCGAAGTTGAAAGTCATCGAGCCGAGCTAATTACAATTGTTTCGCATAGAATAGAAGTAACGTCTCGTTAGAGCAGAACGATAGATAATGATGCAGTTTTAGAAACGACGAGGAAACGTGTCGCGCGACGGCTCGTAAAGATACAGAAGACACTAAAGTACGAGGGATAAGAAACTCGGTCCCGGAAACTGGCAGGGAAACTTTTTGTTTCAGCGCCTCGAAGTCACTGCACTCCCTGCACAAGGTCCACGTCGAGACGACCTTGGAGAGGAAGCTGAGCAGCTCCGAGAAGAGACTATCCGCCCCCATATATCCGGATCTGGACGTGAACATGGACGAGAAGATCGCCGAGGAGGAGAACAATCTGCTGGGCGGTGATGTGGAAAGATTGAACGGCAAGGTGCCCACGGTAAGCATTTTATCATTTATCGATGTGAAATTGCTGCTGCCGGCTTGTTCGTGATCGTTCCATTGAAAATGATTGATGAACCGAATATATGGATAGCGAAGTAATTGTCAGCCGTAGAGCGATCTTTGAATAATGGTTTCGAAGATCAGGTAGTTTACAAATATTCCGTGGAAAGTATTTGTTTTTCTTGTTTTATGTGTACTAAGAGCTAGAACAGCTGCCATTTTGGTTATTTTAGGGTATAGCTGTAAAATATTAAATCATTAATATATCAAGTGATGATAGATAATATATCAAGTGATGACGATTGGATCAGAAAGGCGGTTTTATTTTATAAAATTAATGGTTTTATTATTAATGTTTACTTATTAACATATTATATTATATGTTATATATTATATTATTAACTCATTTAATATTAACATGGCACTTTGGATGCACTTTGGTATTTAATGGATGCACTGGATGCATTAATCGCACTTTGCACGTCGAACACCAGTATCGCGATTCTTTTCTAATCTTATTTTTATGACAGTGTAAACATCTCCGTGTAGGATTGGCCTCAAAATATTCTAAACATCTTGAAATTTCAGAATATGTTTTTATTTTCACTAAAATTGCAATTTGAATAGCCAATGGTCACTACTTTTTACGCGCGACGAGTATACTCATGACGCAAAACACTGCCACTTCTTCATGACGAGTATACTCGTCAAACACAGCTAACTGGTTAAACACCAATCTTGAAGATCGAAGAAGAAGAATCAGTTTTAAATATTCAATCATGAATTTATATTAATAATACTATAAATAAAATGTTTGCTGGATTAGGTATAATCTCTAAACAATAATCTTGAGGATCAAAGAACAAGAATCTTTCTCAAATATTCTGCCATGAATTATTATTAATAGGATCGAAAGTCAAATATTTGTTAGGCAAGACATAATTTTTAAACGCCAATCTTGAAGATCAAAGAACAAGGATCTTTTCTTTTTCAATCTCTTAAATCTTTTCAGAATTTTCTCCTTAAAATATTCAACCCTTAATAGAAGAATATAATAAGAATATAATATAATAATAATATAATAATAAGAATATAATAATAATATAATATAATAATAATAAGAAAGAAGAATATAATATAATAATAATAAGAAAGAAGAATATAATATAATAATAATAAGAAACAGAATATTCACGAAAGGCGTTAATTCTTGAATATCAATTTTGAAGATCGAAAAATTAGGATTGTTTTTAGACATTCTATTCTAGAGAATCAGTTGCTTGAAGCACTTGATAAATTCTAAAGCAGGAAGACTCTTTCTGCAGTCTTTTTCAAAAGGTCCTCTTTGTTCCACGATTTGTGAAATATGAAACTGGCTAATCCGTCGTGTCGCCGACCAATTATACACCCCGGAAAGTCATTTCGCGGACATAATGGAGCATTTATGGCGCCGCGGGGTGGTCCGGTGCCAGAACGATTCATTTAGACGCAATAACAGTAGATCCTGGGTCAAGGTCAAGTAACTGGAGGATATTGTTGGCAGATTCGCAGGCACACGATCAGCGGGCGTCGCCTTCGCGCGGACTCGGACTGCAGCCAGAAATCGTTGAAAGTCGGCAACAGGCGGAATCCGTTCAGCAAGGACCCGCAGAGACCGTTCTACAGGGACGATATCTTCTATGGGGGTTCGTTGAATAGGCTTGCCCATTACAAGTCGCAGGTAAAATACCGAAGGACGATTCTATCGCCTAAGAGATTTCGTGGAAACACTTTCTTGCTTGGTCGAGGTCATAAGTTTTTAGGGAGGGGGTAAAACATGCTATTTCGAGACTTTTGTGTTACCTGCTCACCTAACTTTAGAGAATCTTATGGGAGTGCTTATTTTTTATGGGAGTGCTGGGGGATTCTTAAAATTGCACAGTTATTAAAAATAAATTCGTAGTGTAGATCGTCTCTTCAACGCTGTAGCAATATAAAATAAATTTTTAAATAATTCTTTCACCGTCAACTCAACAACATTAAAAGTTCCATGAAATCAAAGCATTTTATCGAATGAAATAAACATTGAAAATTAGGACGTAGAGTATACTGATTTGCTTCACCGAATAAACGAGTGCGAACATTCATTTTTCACTTACATTGAAAATTGAAAATATGTAATACATTAATTTGTCACACAGAGTATATAAGTACAAAAATTAATTTTTGATTTACATTGAAAATTGAAAATGTATAATACACTGATTTGTTACATTGAATGCGTGAGTTGTGAAATTAATTTTCAATTCGTGATGCTGCAGACAAAGCGTTAGAAGATGAACAACTTTTATCGATAGTATTGTTTGCTAAATCGGGAGAGCGTGTGTTTGCTAATCCTGGCGAGGAAGATAGCGAATGACCGGGTTATTGGACTCGTTTGTAGCAATCGTCCGTTGGCTATCACATGTCGGTGACGCGTTTGCCAACGGCCACCGACGTCGCCGAGGAGGAAAGCGGAAGCTGTTACCTCTGCCCCGAGAGCGTCAGGCGTATCTTGACGACTATGCTTGATCTCAGCCTTCTGAAGAGCCCGTCGTTCCTGATCCTGGCGATTTCTGGTGGTCTCACTATGATGGGATTCTACACGCCGTTCATATATGTCCAAGGTACGTCACGTGGTTGTCGCGCGACTGCTTTTACAGCTTGTCATAACTAGGCTGTGTGAATCCCAGAGATCTCGCGCAGCAAATTAAAGCCTCTGGATTTTCCACGGTTAAGATAACCAGCGATTTATAGTCCACGTTTTACCACCGATGAAACGAGGAATTTATTTAACTCCGATTCTTGCATTTTACTCGCGCGTACTCCGTTCGTGCATTAAATCTGCAGTATACCGATTTTACTAATCAAATAGATCCTTAATAATCTTCCGAACGATATTTCGGAAGTGTGAGTTTGTATGTGAATTTTCAACACTTTAAGTGATATCAAGTCTAAACATTCCTTCGATATCAAAGTCATTTAATTGACGAAACTGAAAGTGGGAAGTTAAAATTGTCCACGGTACATTAGTTTAGCTCCTTCGAATTCTGAAAATCTTATAAACTTTCAGTGTGTGTTCGAATGTATGATAATAAAAATGTTTTTCGAAACTTGGTTAACAATTAATGTTATCCATATAGCATAGGTTATTAAAAAAAAACTTGAAAATTTTAAGATATATTATATTATATTATATATATAATATAATATATTATATATATTATATATTATATATAATATATTATAATATATTTTATATATATATATATATATATATATATATATATAT